CGCAGATTTATCGTTATATTGTCTCATAAATATGCAGATTTGACAATTTGAAAATTTGAATCGAGAGGCCAACGCATTTTCCTCCAATTTCGACATTATTTATGCATGCCTAGAAAAATTAAATCTGCAAAACGTTAGTCCTACATGTTAGGAAACGTTTATAAAAGTAAATGACCAGTTGAACCAATTTTCCTGTTCTTAAAATGCGTTTGAAAAAATAAACAATGTTACAGTATAGAGCGAGTTGATTTGTGCAGGGTTACAGCATAGACCTAGCGATTTGTATTCAATTTTGTTACAGTTTATACCAAGATTTCGGTTACAGTTTAGACTTCGATATTTTCTATATATACTAGGTAAATTGTATGAATGTTACATAGACTTTTAAATCTCTGTGAGCTTATTGGCCCGATGGTTATTCGTCCGTCTGTCGTACATATGTGTGTGCAATCTCATCCGCTCAGTAACTACTTGACTAAATATGATGAAATTTACATGACTTTCTACCAATTAAGTTGTTCCAATGGTTTCGGTTGCAATCGGGGATACGAAAACCCAAAACATAGATTTTGAAAAAAGGCAATGTTTAAAGACCCTTTTCATCTAGAACCAAAAGTATTCAAATCAAATCATGATCATGGCGTCATTTTGAATGCTTCTTTGTTGAAGTTACGATTTTTTTGTCATTATCAAATTAAAAGTCGTTTTTTTTTTATTTCAGACATCCTGTATAGCAGTTTTCATGTTTCTGAAAAAAAAATGATATTGAAAGTTATAGACTATAAATAAAGGTCAGACAATTACACTATCTCCTCTAGTAAGTCTGATGGAGGAACATAATAGTGGCAGAGTCGGGATAAGGCCGTCGACTTCAAATCATCTTTCATTTACTGCTGTAGTTGAAATCCAGTCATTGGGATTTTGTTTTTCTCTATTTAATTGTCACATCCGTGTTATTTGTGCCGTGTATCGGCTGTACAAAGTCTCCCCGTACATTTAATTAATGATGTTATATTTTCGATCCTTGAAGATCGTTCAGCAGGACATGCACTTTCCAGTACCGTCCATGAACAGGCTAAAACGAGCCTGCAACATTTTCAATTTTGGCGTGTCGGACTTTCTGTAGGGATTCTGTTTTTCCCTATTTTTTTTTATTCTTTGTATGTGAGAAATCTATCAAGCTAATTTACGGAAGGTCGGTGGTACTAGTCAGGTGCCCGCTCGTGTCTGAAATGTTTCAGAAAGGGTATCTATGGTCTTTCTTTACATTAAAGCAGGAATGTTTTCACATGACCTCAGTGTCTTTGAAACTTAAAATCCAAGAAAGCCAAACGTAACAAACCCTTTTAAATACTTACAAAATACATTATGGTAGATGGAAAATCCAACTTAAAATAAAATGTATGGTTGCAGTATTGCTCTCTTAAATACTGTTTAATCATTCTTAGGGTATTGCCTGCTTGTTAATTGTGTCTTTTGACAGCTTATCTATAGTATGCAGGATTCATAACATCCGATCCCCTCTCAAAATTTCATTTTGTTTAGTTTCACTCATTGTATTCTCGTTTAGGACACACGCAATTTTAACCGGGGTGTAATACGCCGCTTTTCATAGAATGGCAATAACGTGTCCACATTGACGGTTCCATGAAAACCGCCATATGAACACATCCACAGATGTTAAAAAAATCTGAAGTGGACCAGTTCATGTTTAATGTGAATTCTGCTGAAGCCGGTGCTAGGATGCGTGGACGGTAGCTTGCAGTTACCACTAACGTCCATGAAAATAACATCTGAAAGCTTACAGATATGTGGTGGTGCTGTATATTTAGGAAATAGAAAATAATTGTGAGTGCATTGTTGTAGAATAAAGCACGATTTGAGTTCAAATGCGTAGTAATATAATCCTGAAGGCCGATTGGCCTGAGTGATTAATTACAAAGCATTTGAACGGAAAACGTGCACTATTTTTTTACAATAATGCACGAAGAATTAAAACCTATTTCCATTCTAACACGTCAAGAAAAAATAAAATTATGATCATAAAATGGACTTTCTGTTTCGTGGTTAAATTTGATTTCGCCTCAGAGTTTCCTATAGAAACGTTCTTAAAAGGATGTTCCAGTGGGTTGAAAAAAGACTGTCGTTAAATCTGCCGTGTGATAAAACTTAAAGTGTGTTTGTTTATTTTATTTCACTCAAAAATTGTTCAAGCGATATAAAAATTATTAAAAAGTGAAATAAAATGTAAAACGCCATTAAAATAGCATACTTGATTTGATAGTTTTGCACGTGCTGTTTGGCGCTACATTGTGACGTCACGTTAACGACACTTAAAACGTCTGTACAGCGTTGACAACTGAACTAAAGATATTTATATTCGGATTCATTTTCCAAGTAAGACCATTTTATTACATGTTTTTCGGTGGTTTATAGAAATATATCAGTGATATAAAACAGGTAATTTCACTGTTTGAAACAGTGAAATTATCACTTTGATAATTTCACTGTTTTGAATTTAAGCCCCTCGCGTTGTTTCAGTGAAATACAAGCGTGCACAGAACTGGGTACCAATTTAATGACGTGACGTCGTAAATGACGTCACGTTGTATTATTATTTGGCGCGTTTTTCATTCAGTATTAGGTTTAATGTCTTTTTAAAACGCTTCTTTGCATATAATAAAAAGAAAATTTGTTTAGTTAATTGTAAGATCGAGATATATTTCCCCTTGTGAACACCAAAAGTTCATATTTCACTCGTGGCTACGCCACTCGTGAAATATACCTTTTGGTGCTCACTCGGTGAAATATATTCCGATCTTACACTGAACTAAACAAATATCCTCTATTTATTTCATTGTAGATAGTTTTTACAACAAAATTCGACAAAAAATGTTTTTCATTTATCAGATTTTCCAAACAAAATGGCGCCCTAAATAGAGATAATAAGAATGGCTAGTGCATTGTTGTAGAATAATGCACGCTTCCTTCTTTGTTTTTATAGAGATACTTCCAATAGAGTTAGAATCTTGAATTTTATTTACAAATACTAATGATTTGTTTATAATACCACATGAAGAGGGATTTTAACAAACGTATTTATAATCTAATAATTATTTCATGACTTCTAAAAACATTTTGTGGTTATATTTTTTCAATATTATAGATTCTAATAAGTTACAATATCGTTTAAAAGTGCTTTTATAACAAACAAATTACTATTCAAAAGTACTATGTGGATCTATATTTGATTGTTTCCAACCATATTAATTTATATGCATTTCATTATATTTCTTCGTGACTGTAACAAATATAATTTCTTTTTTGAACTCATACTTTTCGTAAAGCAAATAATTTGTAAAGGACTTAGTATAATTACAGGCTCAAACTTACCAAGTCTATTTGTTGACAAAAATGCAAGATCAATCACTGTACTTTGCATTGAAAAAAAATATCTTATTTATTCTTCTATTCCTTGATTATACCAAGAAGTTAAAAGTCCCATACAAAACACTACTCCACAAGTTTTATATACATGAAGGAAACACATTGAAAAAATCAAGAGCATAACCCGTTATCATATCCTAGTAAATCATCAAATTTAGACACCTTTGATATCAGATTGAGTTGCTGCAATATTATTGCTGATTCTTCTTTTTCATTGAATTAGACGTTATCCCATTTTCTCTCCGACCTTATGGAAAGTATTATTTTCATAAAGAAGGAGTTTTACCATGATAGTAAACTGTTACAAAAATAACGCACACACAAACGCACGCACGCACCACCGCACTCATGCACGCACAAACACACAAATGAAAACAAACTCTCTAGGATACATATTTTGCAATACGGTTTGTTTTCATTTTGATATTGTACAATAGCCTTTTGCAATGCAAATTTGTAAAAATAACATTTTGGAATTCAATCAGAAATGTAAAACAAGAGGGCCATGATGGCCCTGAATCGCTCACCAGAAACAACTGTTTCAGTGATTATAGAATTTTTTTTCAAAATAAACTTGTTGCAAGACAAGTCCAGGTCAACTTCAACTTGCCTCTCTAGTTATAAGGTTTCCCGACACTGATTGTTTTTTCTTTATAGTATAATGATAGGAATCAAGTTTTGTGATCATTCATCCAGTAATTTGTGATAAAATTTTCCTATGATTTTTCAAAATTGCGATCTTTCTTCCCTTTTTAATAATCTAAAAAAAATAGATATTTATATAATCTCAGTATTTAGATATACATGTATACTGTTTGTCAGGATGACAACATTGGTCAATATTTATTTAAGATAACATAGGTATACTAGTCAACTTGAAGTTGACCAGAAAAATAACATTGCGGGTTAATTATCTTACACTCTAATAGAGATCTTTAACTACATAGAGGAAAAAGGCAAAAGGTTGTTTTGATGGAATGTATTCAGTGAACATGAAAACAACTTTATATACATTGCATGAAACAGTACAAAATTACTTTCAAAAAGTGATAACCAAGTTTGCAAAATGTAATTCAGAATAGAAATAATTGAAACTGATACTAAAATAGCACAAAGAATGAACAAGAGCCAATGCCAGGTGGGGGTAACGCTCGACTCTTTACTTTTCTTAAAGCAAACAAAGAAAAGTTTGACCAATTCTTAACGTTTCCTTTCTATAAATTTAATCGGTCTGTCTTGTCACAATAGTTTTGTCTGTATGTCTTGAATATCTAGATATATATAAATGCTTATGGTGGTGTTGGTCCGAATGGTAGAGGTGGTGTTCAGCATGTTGGTGGTGGTCCGCATAGTGATGGTGGTCGGCATGTTGGCAATGGTCCGCATGTTGGCGGTGGTCTACATGGTAGCAATGGTGATCCGCATGAGGGTGATGGTCTGCATGGTGCTTGCAGCCCGCATGTTGACATGGTCTGTATGGTAGCGGCGGTCCACATGGTGTGGTGGTGGTTTGCATTGTGGTGGTGGTCCGCATGGTGGTTATGGTCCGCATGATGGGGTTTGTCCAGCATGTTGGTGGCAGTCCGCATGTTGGTGGCGGTCTGCATTTTGGTGATGGTCTGCATGGAGGTAATGGTCCGCATGACGGTGGTGGTCTAAATATAAGTGGCGGTCAGCATGGTGGTGATGGTCCGCATGTTGGTGGTGGTCCGCATGTTGGTGGCAGTCCACAAGTTGGTGGTGGTCCGCATGCTGGTGATGGTCCTCATGGTGGTGGTAGTCCGCATGACGGTGGTCCGCATGGTGGTTGTGATCAGCATGGCAGTGGGCGTCGACATGGTGGATGCGATCTGCATGTGGTTGGCGGTCCGCATGGCGGTGGCAGTCCACATGGTGTTGGTGGTCTGCATGGTGGTGACGGTCCGCACAGTGGTGGCAGTCTGCATGGTGGTGGTGGTCTGCATGTTGGTGGCGGTCCGCATGGTGGTGGTGGTCCGCATGGTGGTGGTGATCCGTTTGTTGGTGGTGGTCGGCACGATGTTCCACATGTTAGTGGTCCGCATGGTGGTGGTGGTCTGCACAGTGGTGGTCGGCATGGTGGAGGTGATCCTCATTGTGGTGGTGGTCCGCATAGTGGAGGTGGTCCACACAGTGGTGGTCCACTTAGAGGTGGTGGCCCGCCTGGTGGTGGTGGTCCGCATGGTGGTGGTTGTCCTAAAATTTGGACTTTTGACCTTGAAGGTCATGGTCATTTATGGATGAAGGTCAAGGTAAGTGTGGTCTACTGAAAGATCTTGTCCAAGGGGTTGTTGTGGCAAAGTATGAAGACAATACACCAACAACTTAAAATGTTATGATCCAGGTACAAGCTATGGTAACGGAAACGCCGCCACAACTATAACAATACCTTTTTCAAAAAAAGTCGTGCTAAAAATGACAAAACAACATAAAGACAAGTAAGTTATACTTTTCAGTTTTGTTCCTGCATGTAAATGATAAGTTATAAAAGGTTTTAAAGTAAAATAAGATGAAAAATAATTTCAGCCATATCTACATTTATGAAATATTTACAAATTTATAAGCATTAAGCGTATTAATTTCTCAGTATTTCTCTATTGATAAATTATTTGAATATTAAATTATGAAAGCAAAAAGAAGGGAAAAAACTGAGATCAGAGAAAGTGATTCAATTACAGGTAAATCGATCAGGCTATTCTATATATTATTATTTCATTCTCATATAAATATAATGCAACAGGTACTTTAATGAGTCTCAGTGAAAAACAATTACCTATCTTTTAGACAGTGACAATATCCCATGCACATATGAAACATCAGGTTCAACAGTGTGTCCCTATATTAATTGAAATTTGCTTTCTCCAAGTGTGTAAGCTACCAGAAACAAATGTTTTAGGCCTTGGAAAAAATTCTCTAGATTGACCTACAAATGAACCTCAGAACTATGCTACTGCTTTATGAACTCTAGGGCACAAACAGATACAAAGCACATTGACCTCAGATCTCTGTAAAGACATTAAGACACTCTATGTTTTTATGCATAACATGAACAAACATGTGAACCTTTTTTCAAGAGGGATAATTAACTTCAAAAAGAGGGAGATTTTTTAATTCACAGGAAACCAAATAAAGCTTGATACTAAGTCCTTATATATTTTGTATAATGTACTTAAGTTATTTCATAAGAGGTCATGACCTCAAATGATTTCATCAGCAAACAGCAGGTTATTCACTTGTATGAAAGAAATTCCAACAGGAGTTGTTTCCCTTTCATTAAACTATAATTTGAAAAAGTGCCATGGTCTGGGGTATCTTAGCTTTAGCAATACCTAAAAGGACAATTCAAATAAATATGAGCAATTTTTATAAAAGATTACTAAAACAATGCAAATAACAAAGTTTGGTGATCATCCATCAATAAGTTCTGTAGGAAAAAAAGCTTTCTAGAGGTTTACATTTTTTTAGCTCCATTGACCCCTAAAAGGGGCCTATCAAATTAATATGAGCAAACTTGATAAAATACTACATAAGAATGCTACAGACCAAGTTTGGTGATCATTCATCAATTGGTTCTGTAGAAGAAGATGCCTAAATGATTTCCTACTTTTAGGTCTAGAGACCCCAAAAAGGGGCCAATCAAATTAATATGAGCAAATTTGATAAAAGACTACCAAAGAATACTACAGACAAAGTTTGGTGATCATCCATCAATTAGTGCTCTAGATATAGATGTTTTAAGTAATTTCTATTTTTAGCTTTAGCAGCCGCTAAAAGGGGCCAATCAATTTAATATGAGCAAACTTGATAAAAGACTTTCCAAGAATGATAGAGACAAAGTTTGGTGATCATCAATCCATTAGTTCTGTAGAAGAAGATGTCTAAAGGTTTTTAATTTTTTTAGCCCTAGTGACCCCTAAAAGGGGCCAATCAAATAAATATGAGCAAACTTGATAAAACATTACCAAAGAATGATACAGAAAAAGTTTGGTGATGATCCATCAATTAGTTCTGTTCTAGAAGATGTTTTAGGGTTTTTCTATTTTTCGCTCTATTGGCCCCTTAAAGGGGCCAATTGAAATGACATGAGCAATTCAAGTGTAACTGTGGCAAGGATGCTACAGACCAAATTTGATGTAAATCTGTCCAGCGGTTTAAGAGAAGAAGACAATCGTGACGCATGACGACGGACGCCGGAGTATCCCCCTTTGATACTAATAGCTCACCCTGAGCCTTCGGCTCTGCTGAGCTAAAAAAAAAACAAGAAAACATAATCTAATCGATGATATTTTTGGACTAATCTGTGTAATTACAAGGGGTCAATACTTCGATCCTTCTCTCTGGCAATGCGATTCTTCCGTCTGACAATTGAGGTAAGACACCGCACGCCGCTGATTCAATAATCATGTGGAATAAGTAATCTGTCATTAGTGATAATTGGTAAGATATTCAGCAAAGGCAATTACTCATATGAGGACGAACAACGCCAATTTATGGCCAGAAATGTATTTTAATCGGCAATAAACGCAGATAAACAAACAAATAAAAGTATAACAAAATCAAATTAAACAGCACAGTGTAATGAAATAAAATCAGAAGTAGGTAATGTCTGATATAGGCAAAACAATTATGGAATAATAATAGTATCAATCAAAATCAGAAACAATAAATTCACATGCAATATCGTGATATGAATGGCAAGGAGATTTCTTACTTTTGAGACATAAATAATGCTATAGTCTGTCCCATCAAATTTGAACATTCCATTTTTTATTTAATATAATAGTAAAATCATTTAAATTAATGTCATGTTAACCCTGACGTCAATATCTCTAGGCATGTTTTTCATTTTTTTTCATAAAGTCATTAATATGGTCAAAATGTTAAAATTATATGTTTCCCCGTTGACTTACGTTGTAACCTAAGGTGACGTCCATTTCAAAATGGCGGCGCCCATATAGACGTCATTTAGGGTTCGTCTCACAATTAGCGTGAAATGTACTCGGTAATTATACAAAAAATGATTATTCTTCATTACTTGCTGATTAAATAGCTAAATGTTCTCATTAAAATGAAAAATGAAAACAAAGTTGGTGTCAAAAAAGACAATTTTACTAGCAAACCATTATTTAAAATAATCAAAATCATTTGAAGTGAAAATATCAGTAACCGCTTTATTAATTCTAACACACAAATATTTCTATAATTACCATGACATACTGTCGTATTTTATACTGTCGTATTTTTTATATTCTTTTTAAGAGAAAAAGAACAATGAAGTGATTTGATTAGATAGCTTTTCAATCAAGCGCGTATCTTGAATACCGCAACGCGTCGAAGGGGAGCGGGAACACTAGCTAGAAGACTATAAAATGGTTATTCGGTAATTAATGTTTAATTTACATAATTCTGTAGTTGTCTGAATTCTGTCCATTAATATGTGTCACGTCTATTCAAAAATAATTAGAATTGACCAGGTTCGATGAGATACAAAAATATGTTACCCTTCTTATTTCGGGTGCGATGTTCGTGTGCTAAACCTTTCCTTCACAAGAAATCGCCAACAAATAATACATTATCATGCAAATCTGACAAGAAATATATAGAAAAGAGAACTGATTCACTATACGTTCAGCATTGGTTTGCTTGTTACCACAGTGTCTACTTTAACTTACCCCCTCGCTAACGAGAGAACATATATATAGACTCGCGTCCGAGGAAATTGTAAAATTATAAGAATATAATATCACGCTTTCTAGTTTGAGCAATCAAACGTAGGCCTATACACTTTAAGCTCGTAAATACAGATTTATCGTTCCGTCTCACAATTCAACAAAATGTCCAGAAATACCGGCGGTGATTTGATATTATTAAAAATAAGTTTGAATTGGAGTGTTCAATAAGCGACAAAAAGTGCGGTTTTTATTGCAGACTCAAAGTGTTACATATAATTATTATGTTAATATGAAGGGGAGGTCGAGTCAAAGAGAACCTCAATAATTTTAGCCTTCCTAAAATTTGAAAAGATTCAGTGAAAAAACAATAGATCTAGCATATTTTTCGCGGCAGAAAAAAAAACGCGTATTGTATATTTTGTAACTTAAAGAGTAGGATTAACAGAAGTCTTTAATAATAACGGATAATATGTAGGGAAATCATTTCTAAGAAGTATATAAAATAGTTTAAAAACATAAAATCAAAACGAATGTTATATGTAATTAATGGAAGAAGTATTGTACTGTTATAGATTCATGTCATTAAGTGAGTTTAAAAATATTTAAATGTTATCGAAAGTTTTATTATTAATATATGAATTGAAGGTATAATTTTTACAGTTAAGTTGCAAAATTTGGGTCTACAAAAATTATTTAAAATGCAATCAAGGCATATTTATCTCAACGCTTGAAATTATTTTTTTGAGGTTACATTGGCCTAACCGCCCTCTGTCAATGCCGCAACTGGAAGCGCGAGGCATTTTTGTCATATATTTCGTAAATTGTTGTTGACGTAATAAAGTTTTTTTTCGTCAGGAATCCATTTTCAAGAGTTATAAACATTGTGATGTTAACAACTAAAATTGATGGGCCGTTCTTGAATTATGGATTTGGAACATGCTGAATTATGATGTGTTTCATTTACATATTTCATTTGCTAACCCAGATAACTCCACAAATTTAACCAGACGGATTAACAGTTTAAAAAATCTGGATCATCATAGGCTAAGTGTAGGAGTCATGTCATTCAGGAGTTTTGAAGCTACGGAACTGGATAGAAACTTGCAATAAAGGAATCTTCAGAATGCGAATTTGTGGTGACGTTCATATAAAGATATATTTCGAAATTCATAGGGATTCTATTCAGCTTAAGTGCAATTTCTTTTCCTACTCCGTGTGACTCGGTGTTTTTGTGTTGCTTATTTTTTTTTTTTTTAAAGTTTTCCATCATGCATTGCAACTAAACTGTTACATCTTGTAGATCCAGCTTTGTAAAATAATCATGAAACGACCCCGAGAACCTCATGTATATTTTAGAAACATAACACGTGCTTTCTCCCGTTCATCTTCAAATGAAGAGTACTTCGGCAATGGCTACGACAAAATAAACAACAGAGATTTGCCATAGAGAAATCAAAATTTGCTTTCACAAGAAAAGTAGACACTTTAGAGAAAAATCCTGAAAATCTCGAG